TTGGCGAAAAAGTGGTGCTTGGCGACAAAACACTAATAAGGAATTATCAGGAAGCCATAGCTCCTATGTCACAACAATATTATCACAGTATTCAATCGACCGGAAGACAGGAACTGTTGAAACCACAAGAAGCCCCTCACTTGAGCAGTTCTTTCACCTGAAACAAATAGGTAGGAAATCAATGTGGTAATGAATTAAAGCAAGAATTCGAGTGGTATACGCAAGTAGAATGATGGATACCAATCTGTGGGGTACCAACGCAACTAGCTCGTATTCTGTATCATGAGGTCTTTAAATGTCTATCTCGCTCACTCCATGATTCTCAAGACCAGTCGAAAAACGAATAAGCAATCTTGTACCTCCAAATAAACCCCGTACAGAATAAGTGTCAGGGGAAGAGAATGTTTGAAAAGTTTTTATAGCCCTTCCCTGCCCGGTACTAGCCTCTTCTACATACTGCATTAACTCTGTTGAGCGGCAAGCGATACACTATTAAGTCCTCTTTCTGGTCACGCAGGCCAAATCGTTGTCTAATGACCAGGGAGATAAGACGTAACAGGCAAGTTTCAGAATTTGTTCCATAAATTCGGAAGGGCAAGATTTGAATACTTGCCTGCTCAACAGTTTTGAAAGCGACATTTGCATAAGCATTAAACGGATCTTCCAACTTGCTGATGATAACCGAGTAAGCAGCAACCACGTTATCCACTGTTCTCTGCTGCACACTCTCCCTACAAATATGAGTTTAAGGAATCTTAAAACCTTACAGATCTTATTTTTGGTAAAACCTTAAGTTTAGATTGCAAAGTCGAACCTCGTGCGAATACTGCTGATTTTGGCCACTTGATCTAACTCATAATTATCTGGTTGAGAGAGATATAAATCAAATTGCAACAAAGTTTGATTGACTGTATTCGCATCCATGCCCGGTATGGCAGACAGTGGACCCTAAAAACCGAAGATGCAGTGTGCCGCACGTGGTAAGTTACGATAAGGAACAGCATATACTGAACAATACATTCTTAAGTATGTACGCACTTGATTCCTGTCATGAGCAGCAGCCTTTTGGTACAAACTGATTAGACCAGTATTTGCAAGAATTGTCGAGGCCTCTTCAGACACCAAAACATCCTCGNGACCGGAAGACAGGAAGACTGTTGAAACCACAAGAAGCCCTTCACTTGAGCAGCTCTTTCACCTGAAACAAATAGGTAAGAAATCAATGTGGTAATGTACTAAAGCAATAATTCAAGGGATATACGCAAGTAGAATGAGGGATACCAATCTGTGTGGTACCAACGCAACTAGCTCGTATTCTGTATCATGGAAGTCTTTAAATGTCTATCTCGCTTACTCCATGATTCTCAAGACCAGTTGAGAAACGAATAAGCAATCTTGAACCTCCAAATAAACCCCGTACAGAATAAGTGTCAGGGGAAGAGAAGGTTTGAAAAGTTTGTAGAGCCCCTCCTTGTCCGGAACCTCCCTCTTCTACATACCGCATTAACTCTGTTGGGCGGCAAGCGATACACTATTAAGTCCTCTTTCTGGAGTCCTCACGGAGGCCAAAATGTTGTCTAATGACCGGGGAGATAAGACGTAACAGGCAAACTTCAGAATTCGTTCCATAAATGCGGAAGGGCAAAATTTGAATACTTGCCTGCTCAACAGTTTTGAAAGCGACATTTGCATAA